CTGGCTGCGACTTCTCAGCTGCAACTGCAACTACGCCCGGTTGCTCCTCGTCCTCGCCCGCCCCATCCTTCTTCGCATCAGCGCCATCATCATCAGCATCATCAGCGGCAGCCGTGGCAACCGTGTCGTCGTCATCTCCTGCAGTGACATCCGTTGCGTTGTCCCCTTCACCCTCGTCCTTCGTCTTGTCTTGTTGCTCTCCTTCTTTTCCATCGTTGTCCGGTTCCCTGTCAGTCTCAACATCCTCCTGCTGCTGGCTGTGACTGTCATCATCGGCGTCCGCTGCTGCGTCCATCGTTGCTGGCGCCTGTGTTTCTTCCACCTGCGACTCAGCAGCGTCACCAGCCTCAGCGCTGCTGGTGTCCTTCTGCACATCTTCCCCTCCTTCTTTGTCAGCCCTCTCTTCCTTCTCGCCTTCTACCTCCTGTGTCGTAGCAGCGGCAGCAGGCATCTGAGTCTCCGGCACCTGGGTCTCCGGCACCTGGCTTTCTGGGACCTGGGTCTCTGGCACCTGCAGTTGTTCTGTGGCCTCTTCTTCCTCTACATTGGTTGACACGGGCACTGTTTCGGGCACTTGGCTTTCCTGCTGCGTCTCTGTCACCGGTTGCGTCTCGGGCACCTGCGTCTCCCCCACAGCGCTGTCGCTCGCATCGTCGTGGTCGGCCATGGTCGTGCTGTGCTGTGTGTTGTGTGGTGGCGCTGCTTGCACACACGAAAATGCAATTTATCGTGTCGTTGTCCGGTCGTGTTGTCGTGTTGTTGTTTGGGGTTGTTGTGCATCGCTGACCGGTTGTTGTTGGCCCTTCCTTCTCCTCACCCTTCCCCTCCTTTATCCTTTCTTCTCTCCCCTTGCCCCCCCCCCCCTCCCCGCTTCAAGCACATCGCCATGGCGACGAACGGGAAGCGGACTGTGAGGAGGAGGGCCTCTGTGTCCCACGGGGTGGGTGGCAGTGACGCCGTGCGTGTGGCGGTGCGCGTGCGCCCGTTCAACAGCCGCGAGCTGCACTCGGCAGCACGGTGCGTGGTAGAGATGAAGGGCAGCCAGACCATCCTGCAGGATCCAAGTGGCACGCGCCAGCCGCGCCCGTTCACCTTCGACTACTCGTACTGGTCCTTTGACGGGTTCGAGACACAGCCAGATGGCACCATCGTCAAGAAGGCAGACAACTACGCGGACCAGGAAACCGTGTACCGTGACCTGGGCAAGGACGCCGTCAAGGACGCCATGGACGGCTACAACGCCGCCATCTTCGCGTACGGCCAGACCGGCGCCGGCAAGTCCTTCACCATGGTCGGCTACAATGCAAACGAAGGCATCATCCCGCGCCTCACGCGCGACCTCTTCCGTGAAACGGCAATCTCCCGCGCCTCCCCGGTCGGCGACGCAGCGTCATCGCCAGCACGCCCCAGCAACAACAACAACAACAACAACAACGGGCCCAGCGGTGCCCCTCAAGGCAGTCACAGCGGCGGTATCGAGTACCAGGTCACCTTCTCCATGCTGGAGATCTACAACGAGCGCATTACCGACCTTCTCTCATCTGCCGGCGGGGAGCTCAAGCTGAGGCAGCACCCGAAGCAGGGCTTCTACGTGCAGGGCCTGCAGAAGGTGGCCGTGAGCAGCTACGATGACGTTCGCAAGCGCATGGACCTCGGCGTTCGTAACCGGACCACAGCGGCCACAACCATGAACGAGACGTCCTCCCGCTCCCACATGGTCGTCACTCTGCACGTGAAACAGATCTTCCTCAACACCAGCGGCGAGAGCACCACAAAGTACTCGGACATCCACCTCGTTGACCTGGCGGGCTCCGAGCGCGCCGAAGCAAGCGCCGCCGTCTCAGACCGCCTGAAGGAAGGCGCAGCCATCAACCAGTCCCTCTCCACCCTGGGCAACGTCATATCTGCACTGGCCGAGCGCGGCGCCGGCCGCACAGACGTCGTGGTGCCATACCGGAACTCGGCCCTGACCAAGCTCCTGCACAACGCGCTTGGCGGAAACTCCAAGACCAACATGATCGCAGCCATCAGCCCCGCCGCCATCAACTACGAGGAGACGCTCTCCACGCTGCGCTACGCTGACAGGGCCAAGCAGATCCGCAACAAGGCCGTGGTGAACGAGAGCCCAACAGACAAGCTGATCCGGGAGCTGCGCGAGGAGAACGCGCGGCTGATGGCTGTGCTCTCCGAGGGCGGCATGACACCGGAGCAACTGGCCGAGGTGCGCGCAGACAAGCAGCTGCTGGGGAGAGAGGTGGCGGACTTGGAGACGCAGTGGTCCAAGCAGCTGGAGGCAGCGCGGCAGGAGTGGGAGCAGCAGCTCTCGCTGGACGACAACCTGCTTGCCCTCGCACAGCAGAGCGAAATCCAGGCAGACGCGCACCTCAGCAACATCAACCCAGACCCGCAGCTGTCGCACGTGATCAAGCACGTGTTGCCGGAGGGCGTGACGATGGTGGCCAGGCTCGACAACATGGACGAGGAGACGCTTGACGAGCACAGCGACCTGTTTGCGGACGTGGACCACATCCTGGAAATGAGCGGACCAAGCATCCAGCAGCGCCACTGCAAACTCGAGCGAAAGGGCACGCAGGTGGTGCTCACCCCCGAACCCGTCGGCGGTCACAGCATTGGCGGCGGCGGCGACGGCGCGACTAACAGCGGTGGGGCCGGGAATGGTGGTGTGACGAGTGAGGACGTGCAGGTGCGGGTGAACGGCGAGGTGGTTGCGCCTGGCCATGCAAGGGCACTGCAGCACCTTGATCGGGTTGTGTTTGGCCCGGGCCAGGCATACCTCTACTTTGCCGAGCAGAGCGCGCGCGAGAGCGACACGGTTGCTGATGTGCAGAACTACGACTACGACTTTGTGCAAATGGAGATTGCGAGCGCGCAGGGCCTGGGCCAGTTCCTGCGCGCGTCCACAAATCTTTCCATGGATCCGGACACGCAGCGGCTGCGGCAGGCGCTTGTCGCTGTTGCGCCGATGGTGACGACAGCCAACGCCATCAGCGCAGAGCTGAAGCGCGGGGTGCGGTTTGAGATTGTGGTGAAGACCGGCACGACGCACGCGCTGAACGACAAGAGCAAAGAGGTGCTGGTGCAGGTCACGGACACGACCACGGGGTTTGTGTGGCGGTGGGACAGGGCCAAGTTTGTGAATCGCTGCGAGCTGATGAAGATGATGTTCAACGAGCGGCAGAAGGAGCAGCGGGAGCGACGCGGAAGTCAACTCCGGCAGTCGCTGGAGCGAAAACAGCAGGCAAACAAGCACAGGGCCATGCACCCGGGCACGATTAGCGAGGACGGAGCCGTGAATGGCAGCAGCGGTGATGGTGGAGGAGGGGTGGGGGCTGGGCGAAAGGCAAAGGCAGCAGGAAGAGGAAAAGGAGGAGGAGGAAAGAAGAGCAAAAGCAGCAGCGTGCTTCCGAGTGCCTTGTCGTCGTCCTCATCAGCGGCAACAGCAACAACATCGTCGTCCAAGCCAAATGGCGGTGGCGCTGGCTATGCGAAGATCCACAGCAGCAGTAGTAGCAGTAGCACTGGTGGTGCTGCGAATGGAGGGAAGGGCAAGGCGCCCCGGCGAGCAAACAGTTATAGCAGTGCCCTGCAGGCGAAGAAAGACCAGCACAAGCAGCAGCAGCAGCAGCACGCAGTGGCCCAGCGCGAACACACCAATTCTGGTGATGAGCTCTTTGGCATGCACACGGCACGAGCAACAGCAATAGCAACGGCGGTGTCCGGTACATCGCCTGTGCTGTCGTCACCATCACCAACGCCACCAGCAGGGGTGAGCAGCAACACCACCACCAACAACAGCGCGAGTGCACACGCAAATGACCCGTTCTGGGATCCGCCAGAGGACCTGTTTCTCGGCAGCAGCTTTGTGTACTTGCAGCCGCTGGCGTTTGGCGTCGGCGTGGACGAGACGCTGCCCGTCACAGACTACCGCGGCCTCACCGTTGCCCTGCTTGATGTGCATGTGTCCCTGTGCGACCACGGAGGCAAGACGCTGCCTGACTTTGCGCTCGTGCAAGACCCGTCTGACTTTGCCGACCGGCGCGTGGATGTGCTGGTGCGCATTGACCGGGCGCGCGATGTGGAGTGGGTGCAGCAGGACACGACGCGCGGGGTGGCCTGCCGCTACCGGTTCTACACGGACGCGAAGAAGCGCACAACGCGCGAGGTGTATCGCTCGCCGCAGGCGGCAGAGTTTGCATATAGCAAGCAGTTCACCATTCGCACGTGCAGCCCAAACTTTGTCAACTATCTCAAGACAAACGTGCTGGTGTTAGAGCTGTGGGGGAAGCAGGGCGATGGCACGACGAAGCTGCGACGGCAACACACGGGCGGGCTCCTGTCGGCAACCATGTCGCTGCCAGGCAGCAGCAGCAGCAGCAGCAGCAGCAGGAGGGGTGGTGGCGGTGGTACCGGTGGTGGTGGTGATGGTAGCAACGACCGGCGCAATGTGCGCGGAAAGTGGACAGCAGCTGCAGCAACAGCGCTGTCGTCGTCAGCGCGTGCTGGTGACGGCGCTGCGTTTGGCGGAGAGGTGAAGAGTGGGCGGGCAATGCCTGAGATGCGACGCAAGGGCGAGACGGGCGCCAGATTCGCCAGCACACAGGGGAAAAAGACGAAGACAAAGGGCAGTCGCAGCGTGAGTGTTGGCGACGACAGCGGTGCTGTGAACGACAGCGGGCTTCGCAGTGGTGTTGGCAGTGCGATAGGCGAAGGCCGTGATGATGGTGATGGCGGTGATGATGATGGTGGTGGTGATGGTGATGGGGGCTCGTCGCGGGACCCTGTTGCGCGCGACTTTGAGCGGCAGATGGATGCTGTGGTGATGGAGGCGATGTGGCTGGAGGAGAAGCGACGGCTGCAGGCGGTCATTGAGGACCTGCAGCAGGAGGTCGAGTTCCTGCAGATTGAAAAGGGCCAGCTCGAGAAGGTACGTGGTGTGGTGTAGTGTGGTGTGATTTGTGGTGCAGTGTGATTTGTGGTGTGGTGTTGGATGTTGATGTTGAAGCTGTAGCTATGTGGCGGGGGCGTGAGTGTCTTCGTCCCGCCTTGTTGGCTCATCTCTTTTTCCGCATTTCCCACCACCACTACAGGAGATGAGTGTGATTGTGCTTGAGAAGACACGCACGTCGTCCTCTCTTGAGAAGGACAGCCTGCACGATGTTGTTGACGCCTTCACCACAAAGCATCGAAACCTCCACCGCCGCCTCAACAAGGCCATGCGCACAAACAAGAAGGTGTGGTGTGTGTGTATGTCTGTGGTGTGTGTATGTGGTGTGGTGTGTGTGATGTGATGTGTGTGTGTGTTTTGTGGTATGATGTGATGTGTAGTGTGTTCAATGGCTTGGCCTTGCGTGTTGTGTTGCACTGTTGCGTTGTGCCTACCGCTGCCTGCCACGCCAGTGTCCAGGAGCTTTCTTGTGACTCCGAACATCTCATCCCTTGCTCACCACCACCACCACCACCACCACCACCACCACCACTGCACCTCAGGCTGACACGGATGCGATTGCGCAGGAGCTGCAGGCGGAGTGCGATGGTCTTGAAGCGGTTGCAAATCAAATTACGCGGCAGATGATGACTGTTCTCACAGACGTCCGCAGCACCATCACACACATCTCACGATCATGACACCTGCACACCTCTGCGTGTGTGTATGTATGTGTGTGTGTGTGTGTGTGTGTGTGTGTGTGTGTGTGTGTGGCAGTGGCACAGTCCCTTGCACTTCCCCTGCGTTGTTTGTGTGTTGCTTGATGGCAAACTCCTTTTGTTAGATGACCACCCATTCTCACTTCTCACTCAGTTTCGTTTATTATGTGAATCGACTTTGCTTGCTTCTCTTGTGTCTGCTTCATGGCAATAAACAACTACACGATCCTTTAGTGTCGACACCAAGCAAGCAACACGTGTGTGAGGGAGTGGGTGCCCACCTGGCACGAAAAGCTGATCATGACAGCCGTGCATGCGCGTGCACTCATGTTCCACAACACACCTACTGCCCCTGGTGCGATTCTTGATGAGCGAGTGATGAGAGAGTTACACACGCGTCAGTCATCGTCGTCGTAATCACGGGGGCGACTCGGCCGCTTCAACGGCTGCTCCTGCTGTTGTTGTTGTTGTTGTTGTTGTGCTTTGCGCAGCCTCCGCTCGAACAGGTCGACCGCTCGGTCATAAAGCGCCACGTCGTACCTGCCGGACGTGAGCACGAACGATTTGGGGAGGGGGTGGGGGTAAGGGCAGCATGACGTGCGATACAGATGACGACTTAACTCAAAACACGCCCGGCGTGCGTTGCAGGTGACGACTTGAACTCTAAGCACACCCACACGCACGCACACCCACACACACCCACACACACACACACACACACACACACACACACACACACACACACACACACACACACACACACACACACACACACACACACACACACACACACACACACACACACACACACACACACACACACACACCGAGCAGAGTGGCGGATGGCGGCGATGGTTTCGGCGTTTGGTGTCGGGCCCGCGCGTGTGTTTCGATTCGATTTCTTGATTCCGTGGCGCTCTCGCAGTCGCACCGCACCCTGACGTCAACACACAGGACAGCCGTTAGTAGCATGTCAACACATGTTTGCGGATGTGCGTGTGTGCATGCGAATGGGTGTGTGCATGTATGTAAATTAGCATGCGCATGTACGTGCGCATGCGTACATGCGATTGTGGAGTGATGTCGCCGTCAGAACCATTCGCCTCTTCCCCAAAACAGCACCCACACTCCTCTATCTCGCCTTTCCTGCGTCTCTGCATCACCCACCCGAAATATGTGCGGCAGTGTCGCTTCGAGCAGCGCTAACGTGTCATCAAAGCGCTCTGTGATGCCGACGACGGCGTAGTTGTGCTCGAGATTATACAGCGCCTGCTCCAGCGCAGCGGGGCCAACCCTGTTGCACACGTCCGCGTGCCCGCAGAAGAATTTGGTCATCAGGTTCCCGCCCATGTTCCGTGCGAACGTGCAGTTGTCGCCGTGTGCAAGACACTCGTCCACGCTCCAGTCTGCCTGCTCCCCCAACTTGCGCCGCACTTGCTCCCGCTTTGACGAGTCGCCAGTTCGCGCAAAGTAGTCTGCATGCGTGTGTGCGTGCGTGCGTGCGTATGTGTTAGTGCATGAGGACACGTTCATGACCTCTTGTGCGCGAGATGTCAACAGTCAAGCCATGATGCTATGAATCTAGCCTGGTGCCGCTCTAATCACGCGACATCGACAGCACATGCCACACCTATCCTCTCACCCCTCTGCCCCCTCACACCCGTGGCAAGCACGCAGGCTTTGGTTCCCAACATGATGATACGATGCGGGCGGCCGGCTCCCGAACCATGTTGATGTACACTGGCTGTTGCAACCCAAACTAAGGACGTTGAGAAAGGCAGACGCAGAAGCACAAGCGTGTGAGGACATGAGAGCGTCCAACGCGGAAATATCGCACAGGGCGATGTCATAAGCACGGTAGTGGTTCGCAGCAGATGAACGTAGAGCCGAGACGCACCACAACATCACGTGCTCACCTGTGTAAAGTTGATGTACCTGACATGCTGATCATAAATCACATGCTGGTCTGCATGCGTTGACACAAAGTCCGCCGATACACATGTGCAAGAACACAGTTAGCTAGGCGAGGATGCGACGGAAATGAGCAACGAAACCTTCACGTATAGAGTGACTCCACTTGAAAGAAGCAAAACACACACTTGTACAATTACACAATGACACAACACACACGCACACACGCACAGACACACAGACACACACACATGCACACAAAGACACTAACACACACACACACCCCTTCACAAGGCACCCTACCAAAGTTTGTCTCAAAGACAAAGTTGATGCGTTCAGCGTTTGCGCGTTCCTCCTCACGAGACCAGCGTTTGCGATCATCATAGACTTTGGAGCTGACAAACTTCAGGTTGCGTTTGTGCCGTGCCAAATCAGAGATGATGCTTCGCAGGGCCGTCGATGCTGCCTTTGGAACCCTGTTGTAGAACACCTTTGTCGCATCCGTAGCCTGGTCACTGGCGATGCCAGCAGCCCCACAACTTGTTGGGCCTGCGAGGACCATCATCATCACCACCACCACCAGCACAACAAGCGGCCAGCTCAGAAACGCCACCATTGCGCATCTTGGTGCTGCCGCCATCTCGTTGAGTCTTCTCCTCTTCTTTGCCATCATCTTCAAGAACCAAAGCGGCGCTGGTGGCACGGTACTTGGGGGTACTCGGGGGAAGGGGGAAGGGGGAAGGGGGAAGGTGGTGTTGCTTTGTTTGCCAGCAGCGCAGCGTTGTCTGCTTCTTGCTTGCTCGTCTTGTGTTGTGGAAGGACCACCGCCCGCCAGCCAGAGCACAGTAATGCAGAAAATTGACACAAGTCATTCAGTAATTGTCCCAACTGCACGTGTTGTTGTTGACAGACGCGAGGCAACAGCGGAGATGGCGGTGATGACACGGCGCAGGCGCACCATGGAGGCGCAGCAGGCACAAGAAGAGGTGGAACAGCAGCAGCAACAAGAACAACAGCAACAGCAGGTGCAGGAGCAACAGCAAGAGCAGGAGCAGGAGCAACAGCAGGAACAACAAGATGCGTCTTCGAAGAAGGAGGGCACCACGCACGCGCAGTCGGCAGCGGATGAAGACGAAGGCAAGGCGCCTGGCGACAGAAGCGCCGTGCCTCGCGGACGGCCAAAGTCGGGCCGGTTTTGGAAGCCCGTGGAGGGTCAGCGATCCTCTGCCATGATCAAGAAGAAGAAGAAGGCCTGGACCCGGAAGATGAAGGAGCGCGAGGAGCAGAAGGCCGCCAAGCTGCAGCACGAGTTGATCAAAGAAGAAACACAGCGCAAGGAAAAGGTGCGCTGGTGCATATGTGTGCATGTGCGTGTGTGTGTGTGTGTACACATGTGTGCATGTGCGTGTGTGTGACTGCGCGCGCGTGGGTGTGATGTCGTCTACTTGCATGCACGTCAATCATGGTGACTCGGTACACTCCAGCACTCTCTACTTTCCAACCATCTTTTACCTGACCCCACACCCAACAACATGCACACTCGCTCACTCACACACACGTACACACATACAAACACACACACACACACGTACACACGTACAAACACACACACACACACACACGTACACACACACAAACGCACATACACACGCACACACCATGTCTTCAAATGCAGGAGCGCAAGGAGAAGAGAAAAGAGAGCATTCGCCGCCGATTGGAGAACGAGCGCAAGGCCGAAATCGTCCAGAAGGTGCTGCGTACTCGCATTGCATTGAAACGTGGTGCAGATTCACTTCCATGGCCACGATCTTAGCATCAACATGCATTGTGCTGCACACTACCGCATCAGTGATGCAGCAGTGGCACTCTTGTAACCACGCTCACACACACTCACTCACACACACTCATTCACTCACTCACTCACGTACACACACTCTCTCACAATCACACACACACACACTCTCTCTCACAACCACTCACTGCAGATCACGAGCGCGCGAACGCTGAAGAGGATGAGCAAGAAGCAGCTGCGCCGTGTGGAGAAGAGATGATTCTTCTGGCATCATAGTCATCACCGCCACCACCATCACCAGCAGTACCAAACCATCCCACGTAGCGCCGCCACCATCTCATCCATGGCTTATGCTTCCCTGTTTTGATTTGTGTTTTTATTGTCCATACCTCCCCATTGCGTCGCCTGTCCGTTGCTTTCTCCTGCGTAAATGCGTGAATGCATGAATGCATGCGGCTCTCGCCAACACAGCAAGTGTCCCTCCTTTCTTGCCCCCCCCCCCCAACACACACACACACACACACACATGACGTGTCCAGTTCACTGTTCATTGGATAAGCGAATGCTGCATGAAAGGGGAAGAAGAAGGGAGAGCGAAGAAAGAATAGGGGAAGAGGAAGAGGGGGCCAATACAACACACACACACACACACACACACACACACACCACCCACAAGGGAAGCATGTGGCATGTGCCCACACGGACTCATATCAAATGTCCACACATGCAAACATATGCACATGTCAACACATGTCAATAGCACGCGTTCACGCAGCATGTGAATGCCGAGTTGAGTCGTGCGACACTCCAAAAGCGCGCGCGGTGTCAACGCAAGGCTGAATTGAAGAAAAAATGGGTAACACAAGCAGAGGGGAGAAGGAGAGCAAAGAGAAGGCGTGGCTCGGCTATATCCGCAAACACGCAACACTTGGACAGAAAGCAGCACCACAGGGCTGTGCACAAACACAACATCCACAACATCCACAAGACGCACAATGAGCAGCGTCAACAGCAAACATTGGACGCACAGAGGCACGTGCAGCTATCACACAAACAGCCGCAGCAAAACAAAATCATCACCACGACAAAAGGAATGTAACAAGCACGCGTGCGGGTTTTCATATATATGTACAAACGTGCACGCTCGCAAAACACCAACGCGAATACCAGGTAAGTTAAAGTGACACGGCTCCACACTCGCTCCTTCACATCAACTGGGAGGGCGCAGTAACCAATGCGCTATGATGACAACCACAACAAAAACAAAAAAGGGGTAACATAACACGACACACGAAAGTGCGCACACGCACGCACACACATGCACGCACATGCATGGGCCAACGCGCCTAGCTCTTCTCATTCTGCTTCGCTGCTCGTTGTCTATCACCCCCACTCCTCTTCTCATCCACACCATCATCACCATCACCACCACCATCATCCCCCTTCAGCTTGCAATTGTGCTTCTGGAGGGATGCCTGCAGGGTGGCGACCTTTGTGTTGAGCTCAGCAATGCGCGCGCGAAGAGAGTCGTTGATGCGTTTCTGTTCCTCGGACGCGGCCTCCAGCGTGCGGATGCGATCCAGGCGGCGCTGCCGGCACCGCTGTGCTGCTATCCGGTTTCTGGTTTGATAGGTGGGGGAGGCGATGAAGCGGGAGGGGGGGGGTTGAGGTGAGGTGAGGTATTGGACGGAAGGAAGGGAGGCACACGAGGCATGGGCAGTTGTTCGAGAGCAAGCAGACGCAGCCGCAGAGATACAGCCGCAGAGCAGAGACACAGGCAGACACACACACACACACACACACAGACACAAAGCATGCGTGTTTACTTTTCGCGCCGGCGCCTCTTCTTCTCTTCGTCTGTCAACGGCACATCGTCCTTTGAGCGCTTGCGTGCGGGCTCCTCACCCCCAGATGACGTGTCGTCCTGCTGCTGCTGGTGGTGGTGGTGGTATGGATGGGAGAGCGTCGGCAGCACGGTTGCCATGGACGCTGCTGTTGTTGCCGACGATGAGGACGACGACGGCGATGGTGTTGGCGTTGCAAACGTGGGCGCGGATGTCCCGTTCGCGCCCTCACCTGCCGGTCTGGCGTCACTGCTTGCTGCTGATGCTGACGAGAGGCCTGCTGCTTGCTCTGCCAATGACGTTGCTGGCGCTGTGGCTGAGGCTGGCCCGCCAAACTCTGCCATGGGGAGTGTGATGAGGTCTGAGTTGGCGCCAGGGTGGGACGGATCGCCGTCGTTTGGCGGCGTCTGTGAAGCGCTGCGAAGGGCATCGCCATCCAGCAGCGCCATAAAGTCCTGCGCTGCGCTCGGGTCCTGCACTCAGCGACCCAAGTAAAACGGAGGAGGGGGGAGGGACAGATAAGGGTGTGACAGAGGGTGTGACAGAGGGAATGACAGAGGGAGAAAGTGAGTAACGGAGGAAGAGACACGGGGAAGTGGCAAGAAAACAGGTTAAGACCACGACCTGCGAGGTGTAAACACACACGCACGCACCTGAACTTCAAGGGTGACGGTGAGCTCCTCTGGTTTGTTATTGCTGAAGACTTCAAGGTCTCGCAGCGACTCTGACCAGTCCATTGTGGCGGCAGAGTGGCGATGGTAACGATCGTTGAGGAAGACCACAACAGTCAATGACGATGACGATAACAACGACAACAAAGAAACACTCAACACAACAGCAGCAGCAGCAACAACAATAACAACGGCACAACACAACAACAAAGAAACACTCAACGACGACAGTATTAATCGGACAGTCGGACAGGCAAGTGCCCTCGCTTGTTTTGTGGACAACAACAAAGGCGTGGTCACACACAAAGAAGAGGAAAGCGAAACGAAAACACCTGCTGGTGTCCTTTTGATACGACACAACCGTTTGCGACAGTGCAAACTGGGGGTGCTGCAAGGTCACGAGGCTCGTGTGTGTCCTGTTGAGTCACAACAACAATCCAACAACAAGCAAGGAGACAGGCAAGCAAGGAAGCAAGGAAGGACGTGCGGGGTGGGTGCTGTTGACTCACGGAAAACACAAACAACCACACCACAAGCCTGATGAAAATGAAAACGCGACACCACAAAATGGAACATGCTTACGGAATAATGGTTGAAATCGTACGCGAATTTTCATCGCAAACGGACGTCGCTCGAGCAAAACCTCAACAGCCAACCATCAAACCAGACCAACCAAACCAAACAAACACACCCCGCCTCCTCCCTCCTCGCTCCCACCACGACTTGTTTGCTTGCGTGTACGACGTGCCAGCCAGCCAGCCCGCCGGCTCGCTTGCAACAGCACAGCAACAGCAACAGAAACAACACAGAAACAGCATAGAAACAGCACAGAAACAGCATAGAAACAGCACAGCGCTTGGAGCCTTGTTTCTTTTCGCTTCATTTGCGTTTACTTGTGTTTGGGACTGTGTTTTGGGCGTTCTGTCAGTCCGTCGTGCTTGAACAGCACAGAGGCAGCAAGCATGTCGCACCATCAGCACCACCAGCGCTTCACGGGCGTGATGAAGCTGCGGGTGGAACGCGCAGAGAACTTGAAGCTGCCAGATGTGTCTGGAAACCGCCTGCGGTCCGTCAACCCATACTGCATCATCAACATTGACGAGGACGTCGTGGCCAGGACACAGGCTGTGCCCAAGACCTTGAACCCGGTGTGGGAGGAGGAGTTTGAGACATCCACGCACCGCGCACACCACTTGGAGATTATTGTCATGCACAAGGACGTCATTGGTGGAGGAAACTTCATTTCCAGTATCAAGGTGCCCACTTCCGAGGTCATCGAAGGCGCCAAGGGCAAAGTCGACCTTTGGGTAAGCTCGGATGTCGTGCAACATGTCTTATGCATGCGCATCTGTCGCGATGTGCACTTTGGAAGCGGTTGCGTCCATTTTTGCATGTGTGGTCTTGCCTTTGGTCCTGTGTGAAATAGTGCGAGCGTGCGTGAGGGTGAACTGCAGCGCTCATTCAACACCCGCATGCTCATGTGCTGTGTGTGTGTATGTGTGTGTTGTGTGTGTGCTTGCGTTCATCGTCAGTTTGAGCTTGAACCTGCTGGTCGGATCAAGCTGCAAATCGAATATGCTCGCACAAGCGCAGGTTGGGTTTGCTGGCTGAGTTGCTTGCTGTTTGTGGAGCGGTAGTTTTATTTCTTTCCTGGCGTTTATCGTGTGCGACGTTACGTGATGGGACCTCACACCGCTGTGGCTCGCACACACACACACACACACACACACACACACACACACACACACACACACACACACACACACACACACACATTCACGCTCACGCACACACGCTCACACACGCTCACGCATGCAGCCGACCGAGAGTTTGTTGCGTCAAAAGTTGCACCGGCACGCCGTGGTGCAATGAAGAGAAAGAAGATCCACGAGGTGAACGGGCACAAGTTCATTGCGCGCTTCTTCAAGCAGCCAACCTTCTGCTCCCACTGCCGCGACTTCATGTGGGGCTTTGGCAAGCAGGGCTACCAGTGCAAAGGTGAGCCGTGAAAAATATGCGCCACACATGCATGTGAAGTGCATCATTCTCTCTCTGGGACTTGCATGCTCGCCTCGCAATATACCCTCGCAACCATCACCAACACACACTTCAATTTGTGTTCATCGGTCCTGCTCCCCCTTCCCCCCCCCCACACACACACGCACACACACGCACACACACGCACACACACGCACACACACGCATGCAGTGTGCGGTGCTGTTGTGCACAAGAAGTGCCACCAGTCTGTCGTCACGCGCTGCCCTGGGTCGGCGGTCGATGCCGGCAAGACTGGATTCAGTGTCAACGTGCCGCACCGCTTCAAGATCCACACGTACATGCGCCCAACGTTCTGTGACCACTGCGGCTCGCTGCTGTGGGGGTTGAGGCGGCAGGGGTACCAGTGCCAGACGTGCAAGTGCAACACGCATGCGCGGTGTCGCGAGCACATGCCGTCCAACTGCGGCGTTGACGCAAAGAAGCTCGCAGACACACTTGCACAGCTCAAGACAAGCGCAGACCAGCTCAGCAAGGTGTGGCGCCGGTGTGTCTTGTCTATCTGTGTAGAAACCTTTGCTGTTCAATCCCCTGCTTGCTTTTCGACTCACCCTTGCCACGGCAAAACACACACACACACACATACACATACATGGTCGTGTAATCAGCGCAAGTCTGGCTCGTCACCCAAGGTGCACAAACTCAGCAGCGACGCGTCGGCCCCCGGTGGCGCCAAGACGCCGACGAAGCCGCGCAGGTGCGCTGTCATGTGGACACGATAACGGGCGCTGCCTGTGTTGCCTAGTAGCCGTACTCTCTGTGCACACACAAACATATGCATGCTTGCTTCTCTTGCCGGCAGTCGTCGCTCACCCGCTGGTATACACACGCACACACGCACGCACGCACTCACACACGCACTCACACGCACGCACTCACACACACGCACACACACTCGCACGCACGCACGCACTCACACACACGCACTCACACACGCACACACACTCGCACGCGCTGCACAGGGCGCCGAAAGCAAAGGTGTCTGGTGCGAGCATTGCAGACTTCTCACTGCTGAAGGTGCTCGGACGCGGGTCGTTTGGAAAAGTGCTGCTGGCAGAACACAAAAAGTCAAAGCAGATCTGCGCCATCAAAGTGCTGCAGAAGGTTGCCATTCTTGAGGACGATGATGTGGAGTGCACCATGACAGAGCGTAGGGTGCTTGCCCTTGCAAACGACCACCCTTTCCTCACCAAGCTGCACGCGTCGTTCCAGTCTGTCGACAAACTCTTCTTCGTCATGGAGTATGTGTCTGGCGGTGACCTCATGTTCCAGATTCAGCGCGCGCGCAAGTTTGACGAGGCTCGCTCTCGCTTCTACGCGGCAGAGATTGTGCTCGCACTGCAGTTCCTCCACTCGCACAACGTCGTGTACCGCGACCTGAAGCTTGACAATGTCATGCTTGACGCAGAGGGGCACGTCAAGGTGTGTGTGTGTGCGCGCGCGCGCGTGTGTGTTGTGTGTCTGTGTGTGTGTGTGTGTGTGTGTGCTTGTGTGCTTGTGTGTGCTTGTGTGTGTGTGTGTGCGCGTGTGCGTGCGTGTGCGTCTGTGTGTGTGTGTGTGCTTGTGTGTGGAAGAGGAGGTGGTTCCCCTACTTGTCTGTCATCTCACGCACGATGCAATTTTGTCGTGCGTCGCAACAGCTGGCTGATTTCGGCATGTGCAAAGAGAACATCACGGACGATTCGCTCACAAACACGTTCTGCGGCACACCAGACTGTACGTGCACGCAAATGCGTCTCTCTCTCTCTCTCTCTTGTTCTTGAGGACACACTTTACATCAGCCATCGCCACCTTGCAACACACACACACACACACACACACACACACACACACACACACACCCAAACCTCTTGCTCACCCACACATCCATCCACGTATGTGCAGACCTTGCGCCGGAAGTGCTGAACGAGCAGGACTATGGGATGAGTGTGGACTGGTGGGCGCTGGGCGTGCTGCTGTACGAGATGCTGGCCGGCCAGCCCCCCTTTGACGGCGAGGATGAGGACGATTTGTTTGAGGCGATTCTGGAGGACGAAGTCCTCTTCCCCGTGTGGATCAGCACCGATGCACAGGCCATCCTCACAGCGGTTCGTGGCCTCTGTGTGTGCGTGTGTGTGCGTGTGTGTGTGTGTGTGTTTGTCTGTGTGTGTGTGTGTGTGTGTTCTGAGTGTTCTGACAAAGTGTGTTGCTGCGCTTCCAACTCATCCCTTCCATCCCCTCCATCCCCTCCACCCCTCCTCCCCCTCCCTTCAGTTCCTGACGCGACCGATTGACCGCCGGCTCGGGTGCGGTCCCAACGGCGATGCTGATATCCGCGGCCACCGCTTCTTCCGCGGTCTCGACTGGCAGCGTCTCGAGAACAGGCAGATCCCGCCCCCGTTCAGGCCCAAAGTGGTGCGTGTGCGTGTGTGTCTGTGTTTGTGTCTGTGTGTGGACATTCCTGATCTCACTTTGCTCCGCTCACACACACACACACACACACACACACACACACACACACACACACACACACACACTTCTCTCTCACGTCCCCGACCCCCATGTTCCAACAACAGCGCGGAGAGAAGGACACGGGCAACTTTGACGTTGAGTTTACGAGCGAGGCGCCACGCATTACGCCAACAGCAAAGGGAATTCTGGAAGGCATTGATCAGGAGGCGTTTACAGACTTTACATACACCGGACCACAGGACTCTCCATTCAACACTGCGACAGCATAGTTTCACTGTTGTTGTTGTGTGCGTATGTGTGTGTGTGCGTGTGTGTGCGTGATTCTGTCGACACATTGGCCTGACATCCGCCTTGTTGCTTCCCTCTTCCCTTCTCGTTTCACATTCTGTCTGGCATCGTAACTGCTGTGCGCGTGCGTTAATGCGCTCCCGTCGATTGCCTGCCTGTTCATCATGCCTGCTGCGCTTGTTGTTTGTTGTCAATTTGCACAAGTAGAACTGCTTTCCATGTGACTTTATCGAGCGAATGATACGGAAAAAAAACAGCGCCACGCAGCATTTCGAGCTCCGCCCATCACCAACCACAACATCACTGACATCACTGACATGCACGTGCATGCGTAACGTGTGACATCATGGAGAAACCCCTGTTGACACACCAAGCTAGAAAGCACAACGGAAACAGCCATCTACATTCCATGCACTGTGTGTGTGTGTTCATGAGGGCGGTGCATCCTCCGAGTGCACGAGTTGTGAGATGGACGCTTCAGCACACGTCACGCCGTGCGCGGTGACAATGGCGTTGATGTAACCGGCAATTGTCAGCGTCGCCTCAACCTCCTGCAGCAGCAAGCAGAAACGGGAGGGTGAGCAAAGATACAAACAGAGCAAACGCACAAACAAAAAAGCGGAGCAACCACAACCACAAACACAACACCAAACAAACGCCAACAAACGCAAACAAGGCAAAGCAAAGCAAAGCACCCTTGCCTGTGGCATGGAGAAAAGGAGGACAGTGTTGCCGCGAAGAGTGTTGCGCGTGCACTCGGAGAGGGTGTGTGTTCGTTGCGGTTCACTTGCTGGCGCGAACATCAGACGGAATTCGTCTGCCAACACATGAGCAACAGGCACGCATGCGCAGGGACGAGCAGATTGAGCAACCTCTCAGCTCCAAAAGAACAAAAGACACGCACGCACACACACACACACACACACACACACACACATACATACACACACACACACACGCAATCACAAACGATACACACACGCACAAACGATACACACATGCAATTACACACACGCACGCGCACACGCAATTTCACACACAAACACGCGCGCAATCACACACGCAATCACACAAACGCACACACACACACACCTCCCGATGGGCCAAACGACTTGAGTGCGGCGTATGGGATGGCCTCCATCTCCTCAAAGCGGGAGCTGAGCACGTGCACACCGCGCCTGTTGATGGCAAGCCAGACCGGCTGCGTGTGCGGTGTGAGGTGGCTCGGGTGCAGGTCGGCGGGAAGCACCGTCGACGCCATGAACTTCCACTGGGACGCAATCTTGAGGATGGAGCTGAACAGCATTGGTGGCGGTTTGAGGATGAGGGAAGAGGGAGGGGGGCGGGTGTACAGACACGGTGAGAGACGCGTTGGAAGTGACATGAAAGCGACAGCAAGAAAGGTGATGGAAAGTGAAGCAAAGTTGTATGCGTAGCGTAGTAGAGGCAGCCGGCAGGTGTTGGAAGCAGAACAAGAAGCACACTCAACCAAACATCAAGTCGCAAGCACGACGTCACACACCCAGTCAACACCAACTCCGCCACAATGTCATCGCGTCATCACCATCGTACATCGAAAGGCTTCCGCTGTCCAAACCCTCGGAATTTCTCCATGTGGACAGCACAATGTCGTCCACATCCACGTCGCTCTTTGAACCGGCAGTTGTGTCCAGAAAGCCACTGAAATCCTCCTGTGTTTGTGGTTAGTGGGAACAATCGCGTGATACCGTGACTTTGCTGTTGGAGGCACACAGCCACACAGCCACACAGATACACACACACACAGATACACACACACACAGAACATCACATGTCCACTCGACACATACACTCGCTTGCACACTCCCGCATGTACCCACACCCCCCCCCCCCCACACAGCGGTACAACAGCGCCACTCACCGTTGGGTAGAATCTCTCCTTGATGATTGGCAGCACGGCCCTCCGTTCTGCATCGGTGCCCAGCGCCCCAAACTCAATCTGCGCCAGCTGTCCAATGATGCGCGCGCTGTCCGCTGGTGGCAGCGGGAACGCGTTCTGTGACGACGACAACAGAGAGATAAAGGAGTTTGGGGGGGGGGCGTGATGAAGGATGAGGGGCGAAGATGGGAGAAGGACGAGGGTTGACACTCAGCGAAACAATTGGGATTGAGTGTGGGTTAGTTCGACTGCGCGCTTGCATTAGCGTACGAACAGCCGTGGGCACGCTAAAGCGTTCCCGCGCATGTATATGTATTAGTGAGTGTGTCTCTGAATGTGTGTGTGTGTGTGAGTGAGTGTGAGTGTGTGTGTGTGTGTGAGTGAGAGAGGGCGAGAGAGAGAGAGAGAGTGTGTGTGTGTGTAATGATGACGACTTACCGCTGCGATTCTGCCTGCGATTTCGTAACAGACGAGGACGTTCTCAACAACAGCGGCATTGGTTGAGACTAAAGGACAGTGAACGGTGCAAGGCAGTCTCTACCATGAGCACTGTGATGGCAACACACCAAGCAAGCGCAGAAAGTATGCGTGTGCGTGTGTGTGTGTGTGCATGTGTGTGTGCGTGTGTGTGCGTGTGTGTGTGTGCGCGCGCGTGTGTGTGTGTGACAGATAGACAGATAGACGCGAGTCTGCCCTCCCCAAAGAGCATGGTGTGATGTGCAACACCTTCGTCGTCGTCGAGCCAGAATCGCCGGCGAAAGGAAATGGTTGGACACGCCATTGACACGAGGCCGCTTCTCGCCATCTACAATACGTACACGCGTAGCATCGTTCAGCTCATGCACACACATGCACACACACAGATGCACACATGCACACACGAACACACACACACAGAGACACACACGCGCACGCATGCAACGCAATGCAACGCAATGCAACACATCAAAACACGCGCGCACGTGAGCAACGCAGCACATGCGCATTTACATCACTCACGGAGAAGAGGCGTTCCCACTCATGCAGGGCATCGCAGACGTTTTGGCGCGGACGTGTGCACAGCGATATCGGGTCATCTGGCGCCGTCGGGTCGTTCATGTACAGCGCAAACCTGAAGCAAAGAACACACAAACAATTTCGTTAGCAAGCAGGTGTACGTGTGTACGTGTGTGAGTGAGAGTGTGTGTGAGTGAGAGAGAGAGAGAGAGAGAGTGTGTGTGTGTGTGTGTGTGTGTGTTTTGGAGGTCCTATTGGCTCCAATGTACAACGACGATTCTTTAGTTCGTCGCATCAACAGATGGGAGAGGGTGTGTGCAGCGTGCACTTCATGAATCTCACCCGCTCTCCTCTGGTGGTCGGATGCCAAGTGCCGCGCAGACCTGCACACACACGCACACGCACGCACGCACACGCACACACATATCCCAGCTTCCAATATCAGCATGATGTGCGGCCACAGCATACAACATTTGCATCTAAAAACAGGAAAAACATGCACACACACACGTGCACACAGCACCTGAGAGCCTACCTCGGATACAAGTTCGTTGAATGTGGTGGCGGCATCAAACCCAGCGAGATAGTGGTTGTCGTTGCTGAGGAACACAGTGACACTCATCGGAAATGCAAAGTCGCCCGGGTGTCGACACACGGCGCTCTCAACTTCAAGCAGCGACGGCGGTGCTGTTCGCCCGCCGGTGACAATGGTGCGAAGAAGGGAACGGTGGACGTGTTTGGCAAACTTGCTCGAAAACTCATCGGCGCTGTCGGCAGCCACGTCCTCGAGATACGCGCGCAGGAACCTGACGCATGGTGATGACGATGTGGAGGGGATGGTGGTGATGGAGGGATTTGTGGTGATGAATGATCATGGAAAGCGCTGAGTCCAGACGAACGCACACATGCACACACACATACATATACACACGCATACACACGCACACACGTGTCACTCACCGATACACGATCTTGGCTGGTGGCTGAAAAGGGACGGCAAGGCAGAGCAACTGCCACGCCTGATGCTGACGGTACGTTGGTGCTTCTGTCGTGTTGGTCGCCTTCACCAGCTGACACAACAGCTCATCGTGTAGCTCTGGCTCTTTCACCACCTGTCGACAGGACCCAGGTGACACGGGGTGACGTCAGTGGTTTCATGCACGCAAGGAGCACATCCACATCCACGTGAATACTCGCACATGCACACAAAAGGCACGTGCATGCTTACTTGTGCGCACGCACGCCTCCAACCACCCACACCCAAACACCCACACCCACACATATGCACATGCCCACGCACTCACTCATGCACCACGTACGTCTGCCATGAGTTGCTGTGCGAGCTTGAGGTGGTACACGATGGCAGGGCCCTCCTGGTGTGTGCTGGTGAAGAGCTGAATCTGTTTCCACAGCTGCAGTGCGCGCTGCTCAAGTTGGGGCGACGGCAGCGTCGTCAGCGCAGCGGCCAGCGGGTACGTCGACGACAGGCGCTGATGGTGGTGATGGCGGTGGTGATGGTGATGATGATGATGATGGTGGTGATGGTGGTGGTGGTGGGGTTAGTGAGGGCACATGCTTGTATGCGGGCACAACGATGCACCAATAGGCATTATTTTTGTTCCAACAACACCAACGAGCCCACGCATGCACCAACTTCGTCGATCTTCCAGAGGGCGTGGGACGAGTTGGACGACTGTGACGAGGCAACAGAGCGGAATGTGCGTTCGAGGGGCGTGCCAATGCCTGCGAACGGAACGCCAACAACATTTCCGCAATAAAACGCCCACCTGCCCAGCACATAGACACGAAAAGCGCAACGTGTGTGCGTACACATGTGTGTGAGTATGCGTGTATGAGTGTGTGTGTGTGAGTGAGTGAGTGAGTGTGTGTGAGAACGGGTGCATGTGTCTGCATGCGTGCATGCGTCCAAGCACAGGTGTTCGTGAGTGTGCAAGGGTGCATGATGGTATGGCAAACTGACTTGTCACGTTCCGTCTTCGAGGGGAAGATGAGGTGGTAGACAGCGCGATTCGTTGTGATCTGCAGGGAATACTCTGGGCGCACCCCCTTTGAGGCGATTAAACGATGATGATGGTGGTGACGATGTTGATGGTGATGGTGATGACAGTAATGGTCAGGATGGTGACGATGGCAAACCATCCCAATTCATTGTTCCACACAAACACCAACACACACATGCACACACACACGCACACACACACCTCCTCGTCCTCTGGATCGCTGTTTTCTTCGGGATCGAACGTGTGCATGTCGGCAATATTGAGTTCAATGCGCCCGAGCGGCAGGAGTGACGGCGCCTTGCTGTAGAAGATCACGCTGCGAAGCAACAACAACAACAACAACAACAACAACAACAACAACAACAACAACAACAACAACAACAACAACAACAACAACAACAACAACAACAACAACAACAACAACAACAACAACAACAACAACAACAACAACAACAACACACACACACACACACACACGCCGCGCAGTGGTATGTGGTGATGGTCTTTGAGTTAGGTTGTTGAGTAGGGTTGGTTGGGAGTGGAGGAAGTGAATTGTGGCGTGCATAACACGCATCGCTCACGTGTGCGCACACAAACAACTGCTCGTATCACTCAACATGGGCATATTTCATGCGTGTGTGTGTCTGTTCATGCTCTCACCAGCCCACAAGGGCGATCCAGCGCTTGCGTCGGAACCCGTGCTTGCACTGCGATTCGACCGGGGATGTCGCAGTGATGCAAAGAAGAACATGTGTGTGTGTGTGTGTGATCGTGTGTGTGTGTGTGTGTGTGTGTGTGTGTGTGTGTGTGTGTGTGTGTGTGTGTGTGTGTGTGTGTGAGGTGGCATGAGAGAGAGAGCAGATGTGAACGGCGACCAACAGGTCCATTCCATCCATTCGCACGCGCACAGGAGAGCGTGGTTCCGTCCCACCTTAATGCACCATCCCTGGATTTTGCCCTTGAAAGTGCTCGTTGGACGCTTGAGCCGCTTGATTGTCGCTTCGATGGCGCTCACCCACGCCTCCACCTCTTGTGGTGTCTCTGTCTGGAAAAAAAAAATAGATGACAAAAGGGGCAGCATCGCAAACACACAGAATGAAGGGTGAATGATCGCTCACTGGAAACAAACAAGCAAACAAACAAACAAACAAACAAACAAACAAACAAACAAACAAACAAACAAACAAACAAACAAGTGCACACACACACGTACACAGACAAGTCAAACACATACAAACACATGCAAACACATCAAAGACACAATCAGTGTCCACTCACTCCGAAGACGATGGAGAAGCCAAGTCCGTGCACGGCAAATTGGTGACGTTTGTCGTGCAGCCCCAACCGTCTTACATGCGTTTGGTTCTCCAAGGACTGCTTGAGGAGGACTCGTTCACGTTTCACTGAATTGTAAATGGTGATGGAGCTGTCATCCACCACACAATACTTCTTCTTCCACGTCAGCGTCTGTCATTCACAGAATGTAAAAGGAATCAATGTTTTGTGCGTGTGCGTGTGTGTGTGTGTGTGTGTGCGTGTGTGCGTGTGTGGTTGCTAATGAAGAAGGAGAGGGCAGGTCTGCAAGCACAGTGACACCATACTATTCACACTCCATCACGGAAGCGCAGCTAGCCGTTATGACACGATACTCGCTCGCGCACTTCTTCACGCACTGCCGACCTGCGGGGTCTTGTAGTCGACGGTGCCGCCTGTCTCGAGATGGGTGCTGGAGAGATATTTCGTGCTGAACTCGCTCCGGGACGGGTGGATTGGCCGCCTGATGATGGCACGTGTGTATGTTTGTGATGGTGTGTGTTTGTTCGTGATGGTGTGTGTTTGTTTGTTTGTTTGGTTGTTTGTGTTTGTGTGTGTGCGTGTGTGTGTGATACGTGTGATTATGTGCGTGATGTTGTGACGTGAGTCAGCCGGACGGGCAAAGCACACAAAGCACGTCAAATCATCGTCTCTATCATGTTTGCGTGCCAAGCGCAAACAATGTATGTGCTGGCAGCGTACATGGAGTTGAGTTTGATGAGCGGCTTTGGAATCGGGATCAGCGTCAACCTGAAGCGACAACCGCCACCAGCAAGCACACGCATCGACGGTGAGCAACGTATGTTTTGTGTGTGTGTGTGTGTGTGTGTGTGTGTGTTGTGTGTGTGTGTGTGTGTGTCTGTCGTTGTGTGTGTGTGTGTCTGTCTGTGTGTGTGAATGTGTGTGTGTGTGTATGTGTGTGTGTGTGTGTGAATGTGTGTGTGTGTGTCTGTGTGTGTGTGTGTCTGCGTGTGTGTGGTTGCACTGGCTGTGTCTGCTATCTGCGCGCCCATGTCCACATCTTCGTGTGCGTGTGTGCATACCCCTCTGCATCTGCTGCAGACGTGTGCAGGATGGATGGCGGGCGCGTTGGAACCGGCGGTGCGCTCCCATGCGACGACCGCGACCTGTGCACCACCAAAGAACAACGACATCCCGCAGGTGAGGCGGTGAACGCACGCGTACGGACATGTGTGTGTGTGTGTGTGCGGTTGCACTGTGTGACACGCACACACACTCTCTGTGACTCGCTCTTTCTGTGTGTGTGTGTGTGTGTGTGTGTGTTTGCGCTGTGTCGTGACTGTGTCGTGACTGCGTCTGTGTTGTGCGTATGTGAGTATGCGAGTTGGTGCTTGCACAGCATCGCCACCACAAAGACGTACGTGTTGTCAGCGATGAGCATGGACATGCGCTGTGTCGTCTCTGTTGAGTTGGCGGGCCGCATCAGCACCAAGTCGTGATCGAGCACCTCTGCACAAGATGGCGATGGCATGCACGACGTGACATTGCACAAGCACAAGATGAGACGTTGCGAAGCAGAACCACAGGACATCAAAGGCCACAGACACAGACACAGACAAGAGGGAGGAAGAGATGGAGGAAGAGGGAGAGAAAGCGACACGACACACACACACACACACACACACACACACGAACCTGATATCACTCATTACAGAACTCCCACGCGATCACTCCGATCAGTCATACGTCATGTTCCAACCGAAACAACGGCTAGAATGTGAAACGCTGCCACGTATGCTGGGGTGGACCTCGCTGATCCAGAGAGGAGAGAAGACGACACACACACACACACACACACACACACACACACGCACACAGACGCACACGCACACAGACGCACACAGACACACCATGAAAGGAGGCTGCAGTTGTCGCGTTGTTGCTGTTGTTATTTGGGCTGCTGTCTTCGTCGATCCGCTCGTAGAGATCATCCATGTCCTCGTAGTAGGTGTCGCGCGGCCACATGGGCACAAGCTCGGGCTCCAGCGTGCCTCCGCCACCGGTCGGCCGGCGTCCAGGCACCCCGCTACTGCGTGGAGACGCGGTGGATGTGGACATGAGCTTGTGTCTTGGCCGGGATGATGGCGACATGGCTGCAGGTGACGCGTGAGAGGCTGTCACGGTTCTTCGCGGCAACGGCGGAGGAGCAGGCTCAGAGGACCCTTGGCCAGCGTTGTCATCGGTGAGTGTACTGTAGAAGACGTCGTCGTCCTGATCACCTTCCTGTGTACCCGTGGCGTCATCACCGTCTGGTCCGCCCACGCTGTCCACTCCGGGAGCGATGACCGGCGACGACCGCTCCGTGAACTCCGGCAGCGATGTCTGCGGCTTGAGGGCGCGTGGGGTCTGGTACACGCGCCCGAGATCTGTGTGCGTGTGGTGGCGGCGCGGTGCTGGCGGTGCCATAGTACCCACCTTGCGCCCGCGCTCGAGCGCGTGGTGTGTCTTTCGCCGGTGCGGTGGCGAGGGCGGGTGCTGATGGGGCGTGTCTGCGCTGCTCGTCGTCGTGGCAGTGGCCGTGACAGTGGCCGTTGCACCGCTGCTGATGCTGTCGCTGTCACTTTGCTCCTCGTCCACTGACACGGGCAGTCTCAGCCCTCTCAGCACGCTGTACTGCGGCGGGGGCGGTGACACATCCCCCCTGCTCCTGCCCCTCTCATCGCCAGCACCCTCCATCGTGTGTCCTCTGCTGTTGTTGTCAGCACCAAACACAAACAAACAGCAGCACAACAACAGCTCAGCAGCAATTCAATTGTGGCTTCGTTGGTGCTCGGTGGACACGGAGACGGACAAAGACAACCCGCTGGCTTGGGTGTGGTGGCAGTTCGGTGTACTTGCTTGCTTGGTGGCTTGGTTGGTCGGTGGCTTGGTTGGTTGGTTGGTCGGTGGCTGCCTTGAGTCTTCCCCTTCTCCTCCTTCTTCTTCGCTCTCTGCTCACGGCCTGGAGGCGGGATGGCTGACCGGATTGAGGCTGGTGTGGAGTATGTGTGGGATGAGGTGCGGGAGGGCGAGGACGGCACGCTATGCATCGATGAGATCACGGCACAGACACACACGCGCGTCCGCAAGCGACATGCGCTCGCCCCACAACTTGGACCATGCAAACGTGGCATGGTATGATGTGTGTATGCTATGTGTGTGTGTGTCTGTGTGTCTGTGTGTGTCTGTGTTTGTGTGTCTGTCTGTGTTTGTGTGTGTTTGTGTGTGTGTGTGTGTGTCTGTCTGTCTGTCTGTCTGTATGTATGTGTGTGTGCCTGTGTCTGTGTGTGCGTGTATGTGTGTGCGTGCGTGGCTGTTTGTGCGTGGCTGCATGCTCTGTCTTGGCTAGGTGCTGCTCAACTTTGCCATTGTCCCATACTCTCACCTCCATTGGCACCAACGTACTCACGCGCACGCACACACTCACGCACGCGCACACGCACGCGCACATGCACGAAGATCCGACACGTGTACTTGGTGGTGGATCTGTCACAAGACATGGATGATGACGACCTGAAGTAAGCACCACCGATTGCAATGGGATGTTGCCCCACCTTACCTGTGCTGCTCTCCGTCGCATGGTTGCTCTGCCTCGCGTGGTTGCCCAGTCCTCATCTGCAATTCGCGGAGTGCATGCTTTTTGGGCACTCACTCACTCACTCACTCACTCACTCACCCACTCACTCACTCACTCACACACACACACACACTCACACACACACACACACACACACTCACTCACTCACCCACTCACCCACTCACCCACTCACTCACTCACTCACCCACTCACTCACCCACTCACTCACTCACTCACACACACACACACACACACACACACACACACACACACACACACACACACACACACACACACACACACACACACACACACACACACACACACACACACACACACACACACACACACACGCGCGCGCGCGCGGTGCTGTGTCCATAGACCAAACAGGCTGACGTGCACGGTGCACAACTTGATCGACTTTGTGCACTCCTTCTTCCACGAGAATCCCATTAGCGATATGGGCGTCATCGTCATGCGTGAGGGTGTCGCTCGTGTCATCTGCGAACTCAACGGCAATAAGGACGTTCTGGTCAGTGTGCGTGTCTGTGTGTGGGAGGGGGGTCCGTGTGTCTGTGTGTCTGTGTGTATAGGTGTGTCTGTCTGTGTGTCTGTGTGTCGGCAAGTAGACCTGCGCTTGTCTATGCATCAGCTCGTGTCTCCATCCATTTCACACACACCCATCCCACCTCAGGTTGAGCACCTCTCAGCGCTGCTGCACCCGAAGACGCCCCTCTTCCCCGCAGGCGAAGCCTCGCTGCAGAACGCCCTTGCCGTTGCCAGACGCTCCCTCAGGTGTGTGTGTGTGTGTGTCTGTGTGTGTGTGTGTGTTGTGTGTGTGTGTGTGTGTGTGTGTGTGTGTGTGTGACGTTGCTCTGAAGACCATCATCGGTTCATGCTTCAAAACCACATGACCTCGCGAACACGCGCACGCCCGTGTGGCAGGTCCATCCCAAGTCACGCCACACGCGAGGTCGTCATCGTGCAGGCCACGCTCGCATCCTGCGATCCAGGCAACATCCTCGACACCATCAAGGTGCCATGCGTGCGTGTGTGTGTGTGTCTGTGTCTGTGTCCATGTGCGCAGGTGTGTGTCCATGTGTGCATGTGTGTATGTGTGTCTGTCTGTGTCCATGTGCGCATGTGTGTGTCTGTGTGTGCGTTACTTGTTCGGGTTGAGTGGCTGCGCCTCTCATTATGCGCCGCACACACGTGCAGTCTCTGCGTTCGGATAAGGTGACGGTGAATGTCGTTGGGCTAGCTGCCGCCGTTCGCATCTGCGAAACCGTCTGCAAGGAAACAGGAGGTGTGCGCTTGCACAAGTGTCCACATTTGTGTGGTTGTGCGCGAACCTGCCACTTCCACCACCTCCGCACGTCCCAGTGTCCACCTGCTTTGCTTTGAATTACCACCTCTTCCACAACTCACCGCCACCGCCACCACCACCACCACCACCACCAACAACAACAACAACAACAACAACAACAACAACAACAACAACAACAACAACAACAACAACAACAACAACAACAACAACAACAACAACAACACATGACCACTGCATTAGGCATCCATGCTGTAGCGCTGGACGAGGATCATCTTGGCGAACTGCTGCTCGCGCTGACAACACCGCCCGCCGCCCCTGCCGACGCCGACGCAACGCAGATGCGGCTTGGGTTTGCCGCGTACGAGGGCAGGCGGCCCACAGTCAGGTGAGGTGTGCGTTTAGTTAGTTCGTTAGTTCGTTAGTTAGTAAGTTAGTTGGTTGGTTCGTTGGTTGGTTGTGTATGTGTGTGTGTGTGTGTGTGTGTACTGCGGTGATCGTCCTCGATGCAACAACCCAATGCTACGTGCACTCAACCACGCTGCTCGTGCAAATCACGCCACCGATGGGTGCCAGGCGCCAGAAGGACGGACAGCTTGGCATCACCACTGGCGGTTATGTGTGTCCGCAGTGCCGGGCGAAAGTGTCCGATATTCCTCAGCGCTGCACCACGTGCGGCCTCATGCTCGTGTCGTCGCCGCACCTCGCCAAGACCTTCCATCACATGTTCCCGCTCCCGGTGTTTAAGGAGGTCACACTCGCAGCAGCAGAGTGGTGTGCGGGCTGCACGCAACCCTTGCCCACGGTGATTGCACTCGTGATTGTGTATCTGTATCTGTGTTTGTCCGTCTGTGCCTGTGTCTGTGTGTGTATTTGTTTGCCTGTGCCTGTGCATGTGTGTCTGTCTGTCTACCTGAGTCTGTGTGTATTTGTGTGCGTGGTTTTGTCTGTCTGTGTGGCTTCTGTTTGAGCTGCTGTTGAAACACACACACACACACACACACACACACACACACACACACACACACACACACACACACACACACACACACACACACGCACACCATCAGCGCTCGCTCACCCCACCCCACCACCCCACCACCACCATCACCAGACGCTCCCTGCGTACGAGTGCCCATCCTGCGGCGCGCGCGTGTGTCTCGATTGTGATGTGTATGTGCACCGCGAGCTGCACAACTGCCCGGGCTGCCCCGTCACCGCAGACTCGTGGACGCAACATAACACCGACCAGCAACGCCAACAACACACCTGAACGTTCATCATAGTTTCCTCTGTGTGTGTGTGTGTTGCTGGCTCGTACTTGCATTCAACTCTTCAATTTGATTCGATTAGGACAGGACAATAAAACAACATTCAAAGCGGGCTCATGCGGATATGGGTGGATATGTGTGGATGTGGACGTGTGTGTACTTGTGTGTATGTGTTTCAACATTCAAAACGTCTTTCGGCACGTCATAGAAATTGCGCCAATCAGTCAATGATGACAACTGCATCGTCGTCGTCATCATCATCGTCACCGGTCTTGCTTGTGCTTGATGCAGCCGTTGCTGCTGCTGCTGCTGCTGCTGTCGTCGTCGTCATTGGTGGTGGCGGCGGTGGTGGTTTGTGGCCAAGCTTCGCTGCTTTGGAAAGATGCACGTGGGCATCAGCGCCATCATCATCATGATTGTCACCATCATGGCCACTGGTTGCCCGCTTTGGTTCTTTGCTCTTCTTCGCTTCTTTCTTCCTTGGCACCAACCACCGCTGCAATGTGTGCGTGCGTGTGCGTGTGTGCGTGTGTATGTATGTATGGTGTGCGTGTGTGTGTATGTGTGTGCGTGTGATACATGAACCTCGCATCATCACATCATCACATCATCACATCATCGCGTCATCGCGCGCACGAACACAAACACACACACACACACACAAAAACACAAACACACACACACACACACACAAACACACACACACACACACACAAGTACAATACCGTGAGGGCGTTCTGTTTTGGTTTTGTTTTGTCCACGAGTTGGATGCGGCGCCTGCACTCCTCGCCCGTGTTGCGGATGTTGCCGACCTGAAGACGCCATGATGCAATCACACGCAAACGAGATGAGCACTGGTTGCACAGAGAGAGAGAGGGGGGGGGGAGAGACCCAACACTCTACAGCCATGCACACACACACATATGCACACGCAAGCACACGCAAGCGCATACAAGCACCTTGCTGGAGACTGGGTAGTACTGAAGGCCCTCATATGGAACAAGCAGCTGCAAGGCCTTTAGGAGAGGGGTGGACTTGGTGTCCAGCCACGCCATCATGGCCTCCTGCGTGGGCAACACGGCAGGCATGCGGTCGTGCAGCCAGCGCAGGTCGTTGCTTGCAGGCACTGTGATGATGCTGTAGGTGTACAGCGGCTTTTCCTCACGCAGCTCACTCGGCGGCGATGAAGCGTGCGCGTGGCCACCTCCCACTTCCTCCTTCACACGACCACCAGCACCAACACCACTACCCTTCTTCTCCCCATGTCCCTCCTCCCCGTCCTCTTCCTCTTCCTTCTTCACCGCGCCATGTAGCGTCATCATCTTCCTCCCCAGCTGCGGCTGCTGCGGCTGCTGCGGCTGCTGTTTCTTGCGTGGCGGCTGGTGCACGTCGTACAACGCCGCAAAGGCGAGCAGCGGCCTCTGCTGCTTCCCCCCAAGTGTGCGCGATGTTGCTGTTTCGGGCGCACGACCGCTGATGGTGGCGGTGCTGCTTGCGTCCGGCTTTCCTTCCTCCGCTTTGACCGCTGTAAGCACGAGAAGGGGAGGGGGGGCGAATTGTAAGGAGTGTGCCGACTTGATTGGGCACGAGTGTTCAAACATGTGTCAAGAAGGATCTAAGGATCTACACGCGCGCGCGCACACACACACACACACACACACACACACACACACACAACACAACACACACACACGTACACGCACACACAACGTATTGCCCATACCGAGTGCTGGCGGCGTAGCTGTGTCGGATGAGAAGAACACGTAGTAAGGCTGCTTCTTTCCATCCTCAGTGTGCTGCCACTCGTAGAATCTATTGGTGATCCATGAACAAGCACGTGAGCCGCACGGCTTGAGGAACAACAGGGCGACACATGTATAGACGCACACACACACACATGTACACACACACACACATGTACACACGCACACACATGTACACACGCACCCTTCTGCGATGACGACGCAGCGCTGGCCGTGTTCCAGCGGCTTGCGAAAGGAGCTGATGTTGCCCAAGCCTTCTTTTCGCGCGTTCACCATGTTCATCTTAAAGTCCTTGGCAGTGCCCTTGTGCCACGATGGCACCAAGCCCCACCGCATGTAATGCACAACCAGCTCGTCGCCCTGCTTCACCAGCACCGGCCTAAATTGTGTGAATGCGTGTGCGTGAGTGAATGCGTGAGTGAATGTGTGCGTGTGTGAATGTGTGTGTGCGAGGTAGCATGTCAGTGGATGGTTGTTGATGAGAAACAGACATACACACACACACACACTGACTGACTGACGTGGTTTGATGGGGTGTTGTGTTGTGTGATTGGCGATAGCGGTCCGTATCCCCTGTGGTCTTTACACCCTTGACTGGCAGGTTGCGGCATGCGGCCTCCACCGTGGATGGTGCAAGCGTACTGTCATAGCGATGTGCGTGTGTGTATGTGCGTGTGTGCATGTATGTGCGTGTGTGCATGCATGTGTGCATGTGTGCGTGTGTGTGTGCATGTACGTGTGTGTGCGTGAGCTATCTAGCCAGCTAGCCAGCTAGCCAGCTATCCAGCCAATAAAGCTCCACCAGCAAGCACCTCCGACTCCACTTTCCCATCTCCTCGCTCAGCCACTCTCTCGCGCCTCGTTCATATCCGCACACACACTTCCGAACCCACCAGGCAGTCCTTCCACACATGTTTGAACGTGTTTTCGACACGTCGAAAAAATAAAAAAGCCCAATAAAAATTTAAACAATAAACGCCAGCCAGCGAGTCGTATCATTTTCATGTTCATTTTCATACAAACGTGAGTTGCAATGTGGCTGCAACACCAAAACACGAGCCAAACGTGAAATCAGTGTCATGTCACATCACACACACACACACACACACACACACACACACACACACACACTCAGCCAAAACGCCGACGCCTCTTCCCCTTCTTTGTGTCATCATGAATCGCGGCATCTTGCGCACGACGTGACCCGAACAGCCTGTCATGTCATTTCATGTGCCCGTACGTCGGCTGCCTTGTTGCGTTGCCTTTCGGCTTGGTTCTTTGTTGTCCCCCTCCCATCGACCAACGCAGGTGCACCTGTGAGTACACATACGTACACGCTTCACTTCGGGTCCCGGCTAGAGTGGTTCGGCGCGCGTGTGCTCCCCGCGCAGAGGCAGATCCCTCCCTCCTCTCTTGCTGCTTGCCAAGCCATGTTCGCTTACGTCTCCTTTGAGGAATCGCAAGCCAGGCATGAGGCGCACGCACTGCAGCGGTGGCTGCAAGACAGCGTGCTGAACTGTGTTGTGTTCATGAGCCCGCCAGCGGCGCGGCGAAAGCAGGCCGCCATCAGGCACAGCATGGAGAACCTCATCTCTTCAGTGGACTTTGCAATCGTTCTCGCGACGAGCAAGTACGGCGGCCGTGGAAGGGAAGGGTCCTTTGGTACCCGCGATGAGCTCCACTGCATCATTCAGTGCAACAAGCCCATGCTTCTCGTGCGCATGTGCACAACCTTCGACTACGCGGCCACCTGCGTCCTCCTTTCGCACTGCGACAACCACGCGTGCACCTGGATCGCTGAGAGGGCGCCCCCAACACTCGCACGCGCCAGAGCCTTCACGGCACGACCTCCGCTGCACGTGGCTCACAGCGTCCTGGAACTTGTCAGCAGCCTTCCTCAAATTCAGCAGTCGTTTGCCATAGCAGCGGAACGTCGGCGTTCCTCGGACATGCTGCAGTCCCCTTCCCAGACTTCCCCAACAGCCTCACCCGCACCACCCAGCCGCGTGCCCCATCAGCAGCACCACCTACATCAAACATCACCGCTGCCAGCCCACACGCAAGCACCACACCTGTGCAACCGAAGGAGGCGGCGGCGTGCCCACGCCGTCACCACGCCGCCACCGCCACTGGAGACGCTGCTATTTGGGTTCCTCGGTACGCATCACCACGAACTTGACCCTGGTCAACCCTTGTACAATCGCCAGGAACACGACGACGAGATCGCTGATGACAGTGTGAGCGATGCCATGTCCGAGCCCTGGACACCCTCCCTCAACTCGGCAGGCATTGCCACCTCGTTTGGACAATACTCAACCGTGTCCATGCCTGGCAAGACGGGAGGCTGGCAGCACCAACACCTACAACACCACCAACACCAGCACCAACACCAGCACCAGCAGCACCAGCACCAGCAACACGGCCAACAACACGACCAACACCAACAACACGACCAACAACAACAACACGGCCAGCACCAGCAGCACCACCAGCAGCAGCAGGGGCGGGCTGAACTGTCACTGCTGGCACCATCCCACATTCTGCCGCGAACACGATCCACGCCTGCTCTCTGCCGACAACCTTCATCATTGAGAATCATGGGCGGAGACAAGGTAGCAAGGTCACGCGAGCACCAGCAACACCCGGCACGCCCACACCAGCACCTACAGAGCAGCGTATCACGCCGCCGCACACACCAACACGCCTCGAACGATTGTTCGATGCCACCCACTGACAGCGGGCTCGGCAAGAACGCGCATGGCACAGTCCGAATCCGTTGGCATGGCCAGGGCGATGACGCTGATGACGAAGAGAGCGATGATGGCGATGAAAGCGATGGTGCTGATGATGGTGACGATGGCAGTTATGTGCATGGTGACGATGACAGCGATCATGACAGCGACGATGCTGATGGCGACCGTCGTTACGACCAGCCCGCAGTTCCTACCGCGTTCCACATGTACGAAGATGATCAAGTTACACACACGACCAAGAATAATGAGGAGCTGTATCGGACGCTAAGCAGCTGCCTCGGCACCATCCTCGACGGTGTGGCGAAACACGTGGACTCTGGGGAGGCAGCTACCGGCGCCATCGCGGCAGCCGTCACGTGTATCACCTCCAGCTCACCAGTGATTGCAAGATCAATCGTAACCCAACCTGGCAGGATCAAGGCCATCATCAGTGCCATGAATAAGCACCCACACATGCTCGAGCTGCAGCGTGGCGCGTGCCTGCTTCTCCGTCACGCCGTTACGCACATGGCCGTGATTGCTGAGCGTGGTGGCGAGTCAGAGGAGGAGCAGAGGACAGAAGATGATGAACCACGAGGAGGGCGAGGAGGCCGAGGTGGAGAAAGCACCCAAAGTACTACAGCTTCACGGCTTCCGCAGCGACAGCAGCGGCGACTCCAGACATGGCAGCTCATGCTGAAAGATGTCCCCACACCTGTGCTGGCAGCCATGTGGGAGCACCAAGGCGATGAGGCACTCCAACAGCACGCATGTTGTGTGTTGCAAGCACTTGCAAACCACCACCACCACCACCACCAGCAACAACAGCACCAGCAACAACAGCACCAGCAACAGCGTCACCAACGACACCACCACGGGGATGCCGTAGACGATGCACAAACGCGGTACAACATCTGGCAAACTGCGGTGATTACCGCAATGCAGACGCACGCGGGTGACGCTCAGATCCAGCGCAGCGGGTGTCACATTGTGCGCACCTTGATTGGCAGTGACACCGTTGCAGATGCACTCAAGGCAGGCGCATTGGAGGTGCTCGAGGAAGCGCTTCAGCACCACGGTGACGCCGCAGATGTGGTGATCGATGCGTGCGACTGCCTCGCCTCAATCATCTCAATGCCTTTCTCACGCAGCGCGAGCACTACACGCACCCAGGACAAGAGCGGCTGGCTGGCGGGGACAGGTGGCGTTGTCGGGGACGCCCTCGTTGGCGGTGGTTGGTGCTGCACACTGGCGATGGCAGTTCTAAACGCACTGCGTGCGCATATCGCAGACGCAGGTGTTCAGGAGGCGGGATTGCATGTGCTGCTGGGCCTCCTGCCCCATGTCAACAACCTCAACAACCTCGCCACCCAGACACCCAAGGCACACGCACGGCACGGCCCAATG